ATGGGATCCCTACTTACAAATGGGATGAGGCAACCCCGCACTAGCTGCTTCCCCCCAGCAGACCAGGGAGACGCGAAGCTAGCGCGCCCCTCCCCCCCCCCAGCAGACCAGGGAGACGCGGAGCATCTTTTCTCGCCGTGGAGGACATGGGCGGTGGGACCGCGGCGAGAGAAGCCCTGTTCGTATGTAGGGATCCGACGTAAGTTGGATCCACGTAACTTGGGGACTGCCTGTACACAATTTGCACTATGCACATTGCATATCTTATTTTGAGTTCAGGGTGCAGTGTAGAAGCACCCTTAGAGTCACCCAACAGCTGAGCAGCAGCTGGCAGTTGACTTCAACTGCTGAGCCCCTGGCAGGGCGGGAGGAGACTGGGGGTCCCCCCCAAGCCCTGATCGACCAGAGGGGGGGGGAGTGTGCGATGTCTCCTCCTGCCCTGCCCCCGTCCTGTGGCGCTTCTTAGCAGCGTGCGCCCCGTCTAGGACGGGAGCAGGGCGGGAGGAGGCTTCGCATGCTCCCCCGGGCTCCGATTGGCCAGGGGGCGAGGGGGGGAGCACGAAGTCTCTCGCTTGCTGCCCTCAGGTGTGTGGGGCTGTCGACCGCCAGGGCGGACTCAAAGCGCTGCCGGGGCCCTAGGCTCTGATTGGCCGGGGGAGTGGGGGAGCGGCAGGGCCTCCGTGGGCTGGATGAAACTGATTGGTGGGCCCGCGGAGGCCGTTTTGCCCCCTATGCCCTGGGGCCCCTTCCCAGGCCCAGCACTCAGTCCCTGGCCACGGGCAGCCATTGGTAACGTGTAATGGCTTGAAAACCCGGGGTCCCATGGGCGCTGCGCACCCCTCCTGGGAGTCTGTGCCAGGCGTGGGCTTCCCGCCTCGGGAGATGGTCCCCAGGTCCCCACAGGAAGGTCTGGGACTCCCCGTGGCTCCATGCAGCTGAGAGCATTGCATGCCACCCCTCTGAGCGGTCACCCCGGGAGTCACTCCCTGCCGCCCACACCCCTCCGATCAGCCGGGGGTTAGTCACTGAGCGGGGGGCATTCGGGTCCGGCGTCGCCCTGCTGGGCTCTGCCCATTCGTGTCCGGGGTCTCTGGGTGGCCACTCCCCTTGAATCCAGCAGCAGAGGGGGCGGCAGCGTGGTCGGGGGCAGGCTTTGAACAGAGACACGCTCGGACCTGGTGCTCCCAGTGTGACCCCACTGAGGTCACTCACTGCGCCCACGCAGGCCGCCTGCCTGCCGCGCCCTGACACTTTTCCTCCTTCCCCGCCTTGTCATGGTTCCTCTCCAGCTCTGACGTGGGCCCAGCTTTGCAAAACCAGGCTAATCTATTGCACCACAGGGGCTGGGCTGGAGAGACTCATCCCCTCTCCCGGCCTGTCCTCATCGCCAGCCTTGCCCCTCACTTCTCCTTTCCTGCCCATTCTCTTCTCACCGCCGGCTCTCACAGCCCCCAGCCCTCCGTCTGGAGGCAGCCCCAGAGATGTCTCGTTAGGAGGGGCGCTTGGATACGACCCCCGCACCCCCTATGCTCTCTAGGAGAGCGCTTCTCGGGGGCGGGGGTTGCACCCACTGGGGAAGGGAAGGGAGGGTCCTCAGGAGCAGTCGCTGACAGAGGGCACACCTGGCGCCCCGCATGGCCTGGCCCCCCCTGGGCATTTTCTCTCGCTAAATGACGTGGGTTGGTCGGTGCCGCCCTTGGCGCCAACCAAGAGGATTGTGACACTAGTTGAGGAAGGGTGGCCCGGGGGGATGGGTTGACACACACAGCTGGAGGGCGTCCTCTGTTCCTCCCTGGCCTTGGACGCCTCCCTCAACCCCCCTCTTCCTCGTGCCTCTCGCCGCTGCGTCATGCCCAGCGGAAGGCAGCTGGCCGGGGCACTGGCCAGTCCGGAAGTCGCTCTCTGTGCTCGGGGGCTGTGCCGTCTCCCACCCCCCTTCCCGCTTGGTGTGCCTGTCGGCCTGCTGGCCAGGGCGGAGCGACCGACCTGGGAGATGGCTTCCCTCCCCGATGCCATCCCACGCTGCAGGGCCCCTTGCTCTCCGCTCCCCTAAGCGAGGGATTCGAGGCACAAGAGCTGGGCGGGGGCGAGGAGAAGTGAAAGCAGCACAGCGCGGCTTGGCGCATCCTTCCCTTTCCCTGCGAGAGTGACCCTCTGCCCTGCGGTCCCTGTGCCTGCAGCAGGGAGATAGGCCAGCGGGGCGCTCGCCGGACACGCTCTCCTTCGGGTTTGGCTGTCGCTTGGCTCCTCCAGGCACGTGAGAACGTGTCCAGCTCCTGCCTTGCCCGAGGCGGCTCCTGCTTCTGTTTCCCCAACCCTGGGGGGCTCAACCTCCCTGTACCGCCCGGCCCTCCCCTGGGCATGGGGCTCGCAGGCCAGATTCTGCTCCCCACGGAGGGCTGCTGGGGATTCCTGCCTTCCTGCCACCACGGAGGCCAGCTGGGGATTCCGGTCTTCCTGCCAGTGAGGGAGCGTATTGGAACCGGGCCTGTCAGCCTCGAAACGTGGGGCTGGAGGGGACCTCGCGAGGTTGTCTAGCCCAGCCCAGTACCGAGCCAGGGTCAAAGCTACCCAGAGCATCCCTGGCAGGGTCTTCTCCAGCCTGCTCCTAAACACCGAGTAGCGGAGATTCTACACCCACCCTTGGAAGCCTTTTAGCTACCCCTAGAGTTAAAAGTTTCCCCCAATATCTCACCTGGATCTCCCTTGCTGCACATTAAACCCTTTAGACTTGTCCTACCTGCAGTGTGCGTGGAGGACAACTGATCGCTGTCCTCTGTAACGGAGCTGACGACTGTTCTCAGCCCCCCACCTCCCCTTTGCTGGTCTTGTTTTCTCAACTTGCCTAGTTTCTGTAACCTTTCCTCTCAGGTCAGATTTTCTAAATTGTCTCCTGTTTTAGCTCTCCACTTTGTCCACATCTCTCTGCAAGTGAGATGCCCCGCACGGGACACCGTGCTCCAGCTGAGGGCTGCCCAATGTTGAGTGACGCAGGACGCGTTCTCTCCCTTTGCTTATTTCCAAACGCCTGTTGATACCCTCCGGAATGATATCAGCCTTTTTTGGCCACGGCATCACCCTGACTCATGGTTGCCACATGTCCAGTGCTGTTTGGGGCTGTCCCATTTTCAGGGAGGAATCGTACTTCCTCGGAGCCTGCTTGAGGAAGCAAAGTAGGTTACGACAAAATATCCAGCCCCGAAAGCCGATGTCCGGGCACGGGGCGATGTTTGGAGGCGGAGTGGTGAAGGCACATGGCGAAGGTTCCTTCGCTGGGTCACTGACAGCCCCACACCCCCTGAG